ATCAAGGAAGTCTATTATGAAGTGTAGGTTTGATTGAAGCTCGATTAATCTGATTTTGATGATCATAGAGGGTGAAAATTCAAAAATATGAAGGCCCGTTATTATTGGGGTTTCGTAGCTTTAGGTCATTTTAGATATGAAAATCTACTTTGGAAAATAGATTGTTGATAATTGAAACTCATTCAAACTGATAATTGATGAAAAAAACGACCTCGTTCACCTTTGATTAAGTGTATAACAATATGTATACATTTTATATATAGTTATTAACATATACATCATCCATACAATGTGCGTGTGTGTATATATATATATATATATATATATATATATATCATATCATATATGTATGTATAAACGTGTTTAGAGGTGTATATGTACTGTATAATAATAGATATAAAAGTATACATATATTGTTCCACAAAAGAAAATGTCATGATTTTCTTCACGTGGCCCTATTGAGCGGCACAGCGTGGCTTTGTTCACGTTAATAGTGAATTTGTGACTAACACAATCCCACTACTTTTAGTTGTGTTGTATATATCTCAAGAAAAAAAAAACATTTTTGAAGATCTAGTGTTAGAAGAAAACTAGAGATGGAGACATTAACAATATGATAATAATAAAAAGAAATACTCCTTTGTATATGATACGATCGATGTCATTTTCTCGAGATACAAAAATCAACTATAGTTGATCTACTAATTTTGCACTCAAATATTGAAATATAAATGTTGTGATATAATGAGTACACAGAGACCTAGGATGGTGTGGATTGAGATTTAAAACATTTAATTCGATAATCATCGTAAATTGAGTCTCTAACAACAAGCAAATTTCATTATAAAAGTCCTCTTTCTGACACTGACTGTTCTTTTTATCTAAATTAGTGGCTTCTTTCATCAAAGAGAAGTGTTCTAATTTCTAAAAAGACTCTAATTACTATTTTTTTTTTGTAACTATTGTACTTTTAACTATATATATAGTATTAAAAAATTTGATGTGCTTATTACTTGATTAAATCTACCCTAAATTTTACTTTAGTCCCATTCTCAAGTTTGTTTATTCATTTAAGGGTCAATCTTGATCTTAGAGATCCATGTGATTGTGATTGAACATCACTTTAAACTCAATTGATTACGATGTGGAATAACAATTAGCTAATTATCATTAAAATAATTAGCAGTATCAAACGAAATATTCACTCAATTGTTTGACCTTTTATTCAACCATAGAGATTGGATTATATATTTTAGAAAATTCATTGATCTTTTGGTAGATAAAAAATATTTTAAACCACAGTTCATTATAGTATTATAATCATGTGAGAAAGAGTCTAAGCTTTAAGTTGAATGGTATTATAGTCTTCACCAATCACCATTAGAGGCGGAGCCAGAAATTCATATTTGAAAATAAAAAAAACTATTAAAATATCAAATAGAGAATTTAAACCAGTATTCCAAAGCAATTTTTGAACCCTTTTGCAACCAAATTAGGATTTTTCTGTGTGTTTAGTAATATATATAGATCAAAACGAAAATATATTTTTACCTTATTTATGCGGTATAATTTTGTGACGAAGAATTGAACCCCTTGCAAGTGGCTAGCTTTGCCAATGCTCACCATACTCCATTTTAGGTATCAATATATTGATAATTTGTTCAATCATGTTAGGCTCATTTCAACTTATGGCTTATTCCATCTTAAATTTTTACGCTTCAAATGTGATATTTTGAGTGCAGAACAATAGATTGGGATTGGGGTTGTTCATGAGTTTCCACATAAGATAGGATATATGATCTTTTTGTAGACATCGAAATTTTGTAGTACTTTACAAAACGTGTTTTATTTCAATTAGAGTTCTTGAGGCTACTCCACCCTAAACCTTAGTTCATGCTTATATAAAAGATAATATATTCCTTTGAAAGAGGCATATTGGCATAAATTCTTGGGTAGTCACAAAAATATCATGAAGACATCAATATTGTCTTTCGCAAAGAAGTTCCGAATATTAATAATCTCTTGGATTTCATAAAGATCAAAATCTCAAATATTTTGCAAATTTATGAAATATTCACAAAGATCAATGGAGACCAAATAAATCTCAAGGAGGTCTAAATTATCCTAGTTCGAGAAATACGCCACTATAGCCCCTGAATCACAAAAAAATCTCAAGAGAGAAGAATTAAGGGAGGAACAAAATTGTACTCGCACTATTTTACCAATAAAATTTCTTGTTTCTTTAAATTTTATTTATGGTTAATTTATTTTTCATATATTTAAAATTCGTCGGAAACCTTTGTTATGACTTATGAGTGTGATTTAACACAATCACAATTCTCAGGAATATTATTCATCTACCATACAAGTTGCAATTGCTATAATTCACAAACAAAAAAAAGTACCTCAAATTAATTAGATCTGGGGACAAAATATTTCCAACTCAAACTGAATTAAACATAGGATGATCATAAGACACAAAGTTTCAAACAAAACTAAATATAAAAACATTAAAAGTCTAATTATCTCCAAAACAATTAAGTAATATATTTCCAGTAAACATGTCATTAGTGATAGATGACAGAGTAGTTGACAGATAGTTACATAATTCCTAAACTTAATTAATATATTAAAATTTCATTCATAATAAATTAAAAGATTGGAACAGCTAATATCTCACAATTTTTTACATATAATATCCATTATATTTATTGGATTGGAGACGTGACATATTTTTTTTTATGAGACGTGACATTTATTTATTAATCAAATTGGAGTCTGACCTCTATTTGTGTTGAACTAATTACGCGTCCAATGAAACTCACAAATTTTTATTCATATCATAAATCATATATTAAGAAATTTCCTAAATATTTATAAATAGCTAATTATTTATTATTTATTTGAAGTTATCGTAGGAATTTATAAACGATAAATTCTCTGAATAAAAATCTAACATAAATTAAGCAAGCTCGAGAGACTTGTAGCCTATAGGAGTTGAACGAGCCAAATATAAATACTAATTTATATTCACATCTTATTTCTGATCGTTGATTCTTAATGACAATATACCACACAAACACAAAAATTAAGCATATTTATCAAGAGACATATTGTTGATGTACAAACAAAATTTGTTAAACACTTAATTTTTCTTCTAATAAACGTCAATCTTATATAAATATTGCTATAAAAACAATCCCCTGTAAGTTGTAGTAGTGTTTTCAATTCCCAATTTATTTTACATAAATAAATATATGTGGAATTGACAGCAGCACTACTATATGTTGTTGGCTAAAAATCAAAGACAAACGCACATTTTAATAATAACAATCTGTCAAATGATGTGTCCTCCTAGGAACTTTATTGGCCAATCAAATTCAATATTGGACTTTATTTTCGTATATAATATGTGACTGCTGCTCATCGTTTGATTCGATATAAAATTTATGATTTTTTTTTTTTGAAATTTGTCATTTTAAATATTTATATAGCTATAAATCTATTTCATTAAGAATAAAATAATAAGTTTAAAATTATTTTTTTCAATTATAAAAAAGTAATTATTGTTTTTGAAAAGATTAAAATATAATGTTGTGTAAATTGAGACATATAATTAATTCTCGTCGAATAGCAATTTCTTATCTAAAATTAGGTGACACAACATTGAGGACCACTAAATTAGTCCTAAAATGTATATGTTGATTGTTGGCTTTTTAGGCCCTTTAAAAACTTCAAACAAGTGATCATAGGTTTACCCAACCCATTAATATAATGTCAACAAAAATATCAATTTGCTAACCTCAATCATATACTATCCAAATAATAATATCCAAAATATTTAACTTTATTTTTCATTTACGTGACACCGTTTAAGTATAAAAAAAATTAGGTGTGAGAGAATTTGTGTATTATTTTATGTAATAATTAGTTATAGAAAGTTTAATTATTCATGTATTAATTCTTTATGTAAGTACTACATAGATTCCCTTATATGAGTTATTTGGAATTTTAAATTACAAATTAAACATCATATTAATTTTATACTTGAATAACTTCTCTCCTGATTAGTTTCACTAAACATGGTACTTGTTACTTATGGAAGATTTAATACTTGGAGAGAAGAATTGAAATCACCTCTAAACTCGATTTAAATTATTAGTTTCATCTCCAAACAGTCGATAGTCTTAAAAACACCCTTTTACTTGGCTAAATAAACTTAAATACACATATGATCTTGCAACATGAGTAAAATATAGATACCCCTAAATTATTGCTAAGTTTAGAGATGTTTTCAACACTTCTCTCAGCTTTTTATTAAGAGTCTCATGCTCCTACAAGAGTTTGAGATCACTTGATATGTCATGTGGGAGATTGGGGGTGTATCAAAATTTAATTAATCAAATAAAAAAATAATATACAACAAATTTAGATGTGTTTTTGATACTTCTTTCTAGTAATAGCCTAAATCATGTAAAACATGTCTAGTCTCCAAAGTCAACCTTATCTATTTTTCCATGGGCGGCTACTTGTAATAAATTTATAATAAGTCATAGATTCTTCATCCCCACGCTCTAGAAATTTCAAAAAGAAACAACCGCACTCTCCTTTTCTTCTCATATGGTGTTCGATATTTATATTAAAGCTAAATTATATTTAAAAATTTGAGTGCTATATGGATCATTTTTTGGGGCACCATTCCCAATAAAACATTTTTCATAATTCAAACATTACAGAAATCTCAACCATCTTATCACATATCTCGTTTTCCCTTTCAACAATTTTAATTTGCTAGTAAAGTAAAGTAAAACCACCTATGACATTTTGTCTTTATATATAGGTATCATCTATATTTCCCCTTTTCTTGTCCTACATTCAAAATTCTGCCCCTCACTTTTTGTCTTCCTCAAGCAATTCCACTTGAAGTTCCTCTTTCTTTCTTTTTTCTTTTTTGGCTTTTTATCATCAATCATCACTATTCCTCTACTTTTTCAAAGAAAATGAAGCATAAGACGAATATATTTTATTTCGTCTTATGCTTTTTTTGCGTAGTAGCAAAAGCTGGTACAACCTTAGACACACCATCATTACCTCCAACAACGTTAACGCACCCGATAGACCCCTCAAATGTTCAAATCAGTCCAACGTTAGCGGTTATACTTGCTTGTCTCGTATTAATCCTATTCGCAGGTGTCTTCATATATATGCGTCGTATGAGCCCCGATTCCTTCGATCATTCTTTGGGATTTCATTTCCTACGAAATCGTTCTCCTGTTAACCGAGGACTCGACCCCGAGATCATTAAAACATTCCCAGTATTCGTCTATTCAGATGTCAAATCATTAAATTTGGGTAAATCCATCTTAGAATGCGCGGTTTGTTTAAACGAATTCGAAGACGAAGAAACTCTCCGTCTCCTACCAAATTGTCATCATGTTTTTCATCCTGAATGTATTGATGCTTGGCTCGCCTTCCGAACCACTTGCCCCGTCTGCCGAACCAATCTCAAAACCAAACCAATTAAACCAACCGATCCTCAACCTGAAAATTCAGTTACTGACACAATCATTGATATTCACATGACAAGTGTGATGGGTCCACAAGAGGTAAATAATGCATCGCCTCAGAAGTCAATAGATAGTCATAATATTCCGAATTGTAGTAATGCAAAAAGGAAAACGCCTGATTTTCTTAGCATTACACGAAAATCACCAACACCTACACGAACGAATATATTACGTATGTTTAATCGATCACATTCAACGGGTCATTCGTTGATTCAACCGGGTCAAAATTGCGAAAGGTTTACGCTAAAGTTACCGGAGGATGCACGTAAAAGATTGATGGAGTTAAGCTTGAGTAGAGCTTATAATAATGGTGAAGTTTTATCTCTAGAGAGGAGTACTTCATCTAAGGGATACCGGTTCGAACCGGGAAATGGGCGGTTCAAGTTTTTATCGACTCCGAATTTGTTATCTAATAAACCCGGTTCGCCAAAGGAAGAGAAAAGTGAAAAAGAACCGAAGAATTTGTTGAGGTCCGTTAAGTCGCCGTTAAGTTTGTTATGTGTGACGGAAAAAGAGGAGGAAACGGGAGAAAGATCTTTTACTTATTTAAGATCTAATCCTTCAAGTTAGATAAGTTTACATATCTTCCTTATTTCTTTTTTACTTTTTACAAAAAAGATTCTTTATCATACAAAAAAAGAAGTAATATATTGTATATAGTGATTGATTGGATAGTTGATAGGAAACTATGGCGAATTACAAAAATAAATAGAGGGAAATGATTTTTTTGATCTTTTGATTTTTTTATTCCGTTTTCGATATTCACATTGAAGCTCGACTGATTCAAATTCGAGTCGTGTAAGACCTTATTTGGGGAAAAAGCTTCCTATCAAGGATTTGTTTATATTCAGGGCTCGAACATGAGACTGAAGATTAAGAAAGGAGCAACCCCATCCTTTGTGGTGCAATTTTCCAGATATTTTGTATGTAAAAATAAGATCATTTTATGTATAAAAATAAAAATGAAAATATTTATAAAAAAATATTATTATTTTTTATTAAAAGCTTCAAAATCAAAATGTTCCATCGTTGAAGTGTCACTATATAAATTGCCTACCCAGTGCTCTCTTGTAATCATCAATTCAAAAATGAAAACTTTTTTAGAGAAATTTTTTGCATTTATGAAACATAGTACTAACATATATATTTATTTAAACCCTAAACGCTAGTTATATTATGATTCTTTTAAACTATCATGCACTATTTGGGATAAACATAGAATATTAATTTGTTGGTCACATAATTTTTCCATTCTTCTACTACTTACAAAATTAATTAACTTTAACACTTACACTGAGGCCAAGTGATATGAGTTTGAGATGACTTATTTAAAGTGTTTTTGAGTTAAAATGAATTTTAAGAACTTTTAAAGTATTAGAATAAATTTAAAAAGATGTTTATTATAAGCATCCAAATTTAAGTTATAATGATAAAAATAAATCAAAAGTCATAAGTTAGAATTCTAATTTTTAAATCAAATTATACCTCTAATCCACTAGTATATATGCTCTCATAAATTATTGTAATATATATATATATATATATATATATATATATGTCTACTTGCTTCATCAGTGGAAGAACCATCATGACACTAAGAATTAATCTTGCAGGGAGAGGGCCAACTATATCTTTATCTTAGATTCATCATCCTCTCCTTTGACATTAAGCAGCACTGCACCTTTTCTATTATTTTATTTTTTTTTAACTCGATGTCGGAGTCCGCATTGAAGCCTCAATTAAATTTGGATTCTGTACTACATGATCTATTTTGAGGGTGGCGCTCCTAACATAATTTTCTCCATACCATAGGGTTTGAACTTGAGATTTCTGGTTAAGAATGAAGCAGTCCCACCAGTACTGTACCACAACCATGTTGGTACCTTTTCTAATTTTATTGCAATTACTCATCATTCTTTTCCAACTTATAATTTGTTATTTTGGTAAGACGGTATAAGAATTTGAGATGTGTTTTCATAATATGCTGAATTTTCATATTTATAAGAAAAAAAAATGCAATTTAAGAAATGGTCAAATAAAATTTCATCATATATTCAAACGGTCCTAGAGTCACAAATTGTTGTTTTGTTTTTTGTGTAGGGTAATATTCCCAACATTTTCCAAAAGAAACAAAACCCCATATAATAGAACTATTTACCCTTTATATGCATCTCTCTCAAAAAAATTCCTTTTCCTCCACTTGACACAACTTTTGCATTTACATCTCTCTCTTCTTCTTGAGGGAGAAAAAAATGAAGCATTAGAGAATCAACACCAACAAGGATATCCTATGTTTCCTCTTGTGCTTTACTTTACGTTAAAGCGCGTAAATGGTGTCGCTGTCTCAGCGACACCATCTTTGGCTCCAACAATAGTGACACTATGAAAATTCGATCCCTTTACAATTGGCAACATGATGAATATTGCAAGAGGTTTACACTAAGGTTACCATATATACGTAAACAACCATATAACTGATCGTGGACTTAACCTTGAGTCAGAAGCGGAATTAGAATTTAAAATTTGTAAATTCTCAACTTGCTACTCATGAATGATATTTTTATTTATATCTATTAGATACCTAACGTCGAAGTGGTCAAAATTTGTACCTAATATTGTAGCTTTGTCAACTAAGGGGCTACCGGTTCGAACCGTTTCAGTTTCCAACGATTTCACGGAAGAATCTGTTGAAGTCCGTTAAGTCAGTTAATTAAAACGCCGTTAAGTTTGTTATGACAGATGGAGAAGGAAGGGACAGGAAAAAATATCTTTTACTTATTTAAGATTAAGTACTTCAAGTTAGATTAGTTTACATTTAAAACCCCTTATTTATTCGCGATCCTAACATATTTAGTTTACTGGTTAAAAAAAGTATAATAAGTATAGAACAATATGTATGTAAATACACAAATTATGCATGAATTATATATGATTGTTATGTATAACTTCATTTGTAATACAAATAGATGATCTTTTAAGAATTTGTTACAAAATGTATGATATCAAATGTTTTGCATGTCCAGTAGTATAGGTTAAAAATATTTTCAATATATTAAACATTTTTTTTATAATAAATATATATCATAATCAAGTACTCTAAATTAAATATGGAATTTGTAGGTAATGCAAGCGAAATGCAGAGGTAGGTATTATAGAACAATAAAAGGAAATTCAAATTTTAAATTAAAATATCTGTGATACTAAAATATCATAAATAGTTTATAGTAGATGATAAGCATGATCAAAGTTTTAATTTTTTTTACAAATAAGGCACGTAAGCGAAGGAATACAATAAATGAAAAAAAAATATTCGGTCCACATAAAAAAACAAAAACTTTCAGAATCTTATCCACAAATTAAATAAAATCAAGTAGAGGATTAAATCTCTTGTAAAATTATTATCAAAAAGCAATTATATAAAGGGTCAATATATAACTAAAGTGTGTTGATTTCAAATTGATCAATTCAGAATATTAAGATTCCACAAAAAATATTTTTAAAAAGTATGAAAAATCTTATTTATTAATTTACTATATTTAAAAATACCAATGTAAGGAAATAATATTTTACTTTTTAGAAAATGATGTATACATCCTTATTTAGGAAAAAAAATTGCTTTCTACATTCTGGATCCTGGCATGCGGAGGTATATGCTTATGCAAACCGAATATTTATATCAAACTAATATAACTTTACTTATTTAACACTAAGAATATATTTGGATGGGTTTATAAAAAGTACTCTTTCCGTCCATATATATTCGTTAAATATTTCTTAATTTGATGTCCCTTCTTATTTGTGATCATTTTTTAAAAAGTCAAGAAAGGACAAATTATTTTTTCTTATTATACCTTCAATTTAATAATATTTTTGAAAAATGTAGTGAGTATATATATATTTGGGATCCTATTAATTAATAAAGATAAAATGGTAAACTCGCTAGTTACTATACCAATCAATATTTTCTTAATAGGTGTGCATAGTAAAAATTTAACAAGTAAAAAGGGACGAAGTGAGCAACTTATTAAGTCAAAAGTTAAAAGTCATAAGTAGATGATACCCTACTTTTGACTTATTTTAAAACTTTTTTGGCCTAAAAGTAGATGGTTAAAAACTTTTTCAAACACCTCCAAAATTTAAAAAAAAAACACCTAAAAATAAGTTAATCCAAGCGGACACTATATCACTGACATTAAATAAGAAATTGAGTCCAATAAAATGGCCTGAAAATAAAGAAGAGCTAAGGAAGTTAAAATTCATGGGCTGGCCCAGTCAGCTTAGGCCCATTCCTAACACCCCCTCTAGCTGGAAGCCCTAGAAGGCTCCACGCATAATAACATAGTTTTTATCTTAGCTATCCTGTATAATAATACGATCGTTGATGCCGTTTCGAGCCCAAATCCAGCTTGGAAAGTAACATTATATATGTTGCTCTATGTCAAAGAATTTAGTAAGAACATCAACCAAGTGTAATGTAGTAGGAATTACATATTGAAAGGAAATCAGTCCCTCATTTAACTTTTCTCGCTCAAAGTTATAGTCAATCTCAAAGTGTTTAATACATTCGTTGAAAATAGGATTATTGACGAATGAAAAAAGTTTTTTTTAAAAAATAATTAACTTACTTTTCACTTTTGAAGTTGTACTTGAATATGTTCAAATATGAATATTATTTCAAATATTCTTTTCATGAAGTATAATAAAACACTACTTCATCTTCTACTTCAACCTCATAAATTTCAAATAAAATGAAAAATATTTGAAGTCTACGACCAAACACCTATTAAGAAATATGAGAGAGTTGCATTACATCCTCAGAATGTCATGCATTTAGAGGCATTGAAACTAAGAGTCTATTTGGATTGCCTTAAAAATTGGTCAAATCTACTTTTAAGTCATTTTTAGTGTTTGACAAGATTAAAAATAACTTAAAATAAGTTTAAAATGACTTAAAAGAACACAAGTTAATCTATCCCCTTTTGTGAACCAATTTTTGAAGTGTTTGGCAAGGAACATAATGCTTTTCTTCGTGAAACTTCATTGCCTCATTGGACTCCCTCCGTCCAATTGTCCCACCAAAAAAACTACTTCATCTATCCTCGTCTCAATTTATGTGACATCTTTCTGACTTCAAGATTCAATCAAGTATTTTTTTGACTGTAGTTTTTTTTATATATCTTTTAAATATTTTGAATCGTCAAGTATTGTAACTTATAGAACTTTTATGTAGTATCAAATATGTAAATTTTATTTCAAAAAAATTTAAAATGTCATGCCTGAATTCATGAACAAAAGTTAAACCGTTTGACTCCCGAAATTTGAATGTAACACATAAATTGAAAAAAGGAAGTACTATTTTCTATTAATATGCTATATCATGTGATCTTCCACAATCTTTCTAGCTTGAAGCATGTTTTTTCAGAGGTGAGAATTACTAGAAGTCCATACATAATTAGCAGTAGCTAGGGTGAGCCCAAGCTCACACAATATTATTTATGTTTAAATAATATAAACAGTAAAAAAGATTGGGATAAATCTCCACCACCTTTTAATATACAAAGGTGGTTCTAATGTCTTCCATTCTCTTTATGCCAATCTCACTTTCTTCACATCAGTAGGGTAGCAAATATTTTGCAAGCAGATCTAATAATATTCTCGACTTGTCCCTTTCAGGATACAACAACCCAATAAAATCGTACAACTTCTTATATGGAGATTTTTATGAAAAAAATACTATATGATTTGTTTGGAAGCAAAAAATATAATATATAATTAAAATACCGATCCAGGATGGGCATTTTTTATGAACATATAAATTTAAGAAGTACAAATAAAAAAACAACATAATTTTTAATCAATAAACATCATTGACTGCCTAGTGGTAAAAATTATCTACCACTAATAATTTTACATCAATCTTTTTAGTAGTGTCTATGACAACTCATAATTAATGAGAACTCTTTATCAATTGGTGGTACATAGATGTGACATATATTAATATTGTGCAGCTGTTCTTACTTGATCTTTTACATTACAAGGTTCTTGTTATGACACCAAAGCTTAAAATTATTGATATATAGTGACCATTTCAGTTATTTCAATGAGAAAATAAAGTTGACTAAAACCATATTTGTCCCATCCTTGTTATTTTCAATCAATTTTTCTCTTCACAAGTTGAGTATGGTTTAAAGAGCAAGTGAAGATAGAGTGATAATTTATTATGACTTGTTAAATTATATTGGTAATATAAAAAAGGGAAAAGGGACGAATATACCCTCGAACTATCATAAATAGTATGCAGATACCCTCCGTCATACTTTTGGGACATTGTGCCCCTGTCGTCAAAAAACTAGAGCATATATGCCCTTCACTCTAACGGAAGACTAAATAGGGACACGTGGCGCAATCTTATCCGTCGATAAATGTCAGATCAGTGGATAAGATTATGACACGTGTATGTCCGTTAGTATAAAGGGTATATATGCTCTAGTTTTTGGACGGCAGGGGCATCAATGTCCCAAAAGTATGACGGAGGGTATTTGCATACCATTTACGATAGTTCGGGGGTATATTTGTCCTTTTTCCCTATAAAAAATATATATATTATCTTTGTATATATATAACTTAAATCTTTTTCTTATTGTTATTATCTTCCATTTTGAAGCAATAAAAGTTATTAATATTATTGTATTTATTCTGTTTATTCCACCTTATGTCTCACAAGCAATTAATTAATTCAATCATAAAAAACAAGAAAATGATAGCAAACGAACTTCTTATAGAGCTCACCAAACCTATTGAATGTTGTGATTATTTCATCTAAATGATTGAAGAGAGTATTTTATTTATTTAATTAATTAATTATGTTTTTACTAAGCTTCTCACATGAGCTTATTTAACATTTCATTTTGACCCATTTCAGTTCAATTCCATCCAACTATTTGGACATTTGTTAATTCCTACGCAAATTCCTGCATTTAGGATCAGAGCTCAAAAAAAGAAAAAAATACTCAATCAGATGATACTTTAAATCTCTATAAATTTGTAGGCCTTATTTGTTTATACTTAATGGGGTATTGACGTGAGAGATTCAGATCTTAGGCCCTTGGTTGAATGTATTTGTTTCCATTAAGATTTAAGCACATAATTGATTTGAATAGAGCTTAACCATTTCAGTTCAACTCCATCCAACTATTTGGACATTCATTAATCCCTGTGCAAATTCCTGCTTTCAGGATCCTGCAAATTCCATCATTATTACTATCAAGCGCCCAATCGAGATAGTCACTACAACACCAACCATCTCCATCATTATTACTAGCCATTTAGACCAATCTTAAGCATATTACCACCATGAGTCACTACAACACCAACAATCACTGCAAACCATTTTTATTATTGCTAGTGAACATAATATTTCACATTTAATTTTATTTTATTAAATTATATTTTTAAATATTTAATTATTCTTTATTTAAATTATATATTTATTATGCTTAAGATTGCTTATTTATTCTTCCTGGTCTTCGGGTCTAAAATAAATTGTGCATAAACAAACATTGTAATCATTATGTATTTTGATCTAGAAACAATGTCTTAATCACTCAAATGTATATCTAAATCAAGGTTTATTATCACTTAAAGAGAACATAAGACAACACAATATCTTTTTTTTTCCTTCCTCCGTTACCCAAATTCTCAAAAATCTATCTAGGTACATGTTGCTATTGGAAATATTGATGATGATTGATGAACATAGCCAATATTCCAATTTAATTACTTTTTATAATTAAAACATATGTCTACATACTTATCTATATAATTACTACATGATTAAGGTTGTAGATAGAAATTGATCACCCATACACTTTCAAATAATGTACAGTCTGAAAGTGACCACTCCACTATTTATCAAACCAATTATATCAATAGATTCACATTCTTCTCAATTATAAAAGTAGAGTTCTCACTACAACTAAAGCAAACAAAAACAAAAAATGGAAGAAGAAGCAAATTTAAGTATCAATATGAGGAGATTCCTCTTGATTATAAATTGTTTATTATTATCCGTTGGTGTTTGTGGTGGCCCTTTAATGATGCGTTTATATTTTGTTGAAGGTGGTTTAAGACTATGGTTTAATAGTTGGTTACAAACCGGTGGATGGCCACTTACAATTATACCATTAGTCATCTTAAATTTCTATCGACGAAAAACCAAGGGCTCTGATACTAAGTTTTATTATATAACGCCTCATATTTTCATTGCATCGTTCGTTATTGGCATTTTAACGGGTGTTGATGCTTACCTCTATTCATGGGGCGGGTCGAAACTACCCGTGTCAACGTCATCCCTTCTCATCGCAGCTCAACTTGCCTTCACGGCGATAGGGGCTTACTTCATAGTAAAGCTAAAATTTACGTCATATACGATTAACGCGGTGGTTTTATTGGGTATGCGATCGAACGGTGATCGACCGGAGGGTGTTACAAGTAAAGACTATGTTATTGGTTTTATTATGACACTTTTGGCTGCAGCTTTGTATGGACTTATTTTGCCTTGTATTGAGTTGATGTATTTGAAGGCAAAACAAGCTATTACTGCAACATTGCTGTTGGAGATTCAAATGGTCATGTGTTTTGCCTCTACTGCTTTTTGCACAATTGGAATGATTGCTAACAAAGATTTTCAGGTATATTTTTAACGAGATCGATTCAGAATTTAAAATGTATATGGTCTAAACTCTAGAGTTCATATTTGTATAGTTGAAGGAAGTTGTGTTTTTATATGTACATATTCAGTCAATTTCTTATAAACAAATGTGTAGGGTTTGGACTAGGGTAGATATGTGGAGATCGCAAATTAGGGTAAAAGATAAATAGGTAGTAGAGTGTTTTCTTGCTTCTCAAAGGGTTTAATGGTGTTTGTAGGGTCTTGGTTTGACTTCCTACCACCATCAATTTTATGATATTTCGATTATTGCAATATTTTGTTATTGTTAATGTTTATGTAGTAGGTGCTATATTTTCTACTTCGTCATTTTTCCTTTTCATACTTACTCTGATTGCTCTACTCGAATCGAGGGCTTTTTGAAATTAGTCTATTTCTTTACCTTCACAAGATAGTGATAAGGTCTGTGTGCGTTGTGTCGCTTTAGCATTTAATTTCCTCTATTTTCAACTCACATGGATATATCTGCCACACCTTAATTGCAATCTCTATACTCTCTTCATTTAATTCATATAACATATCACTTACATTATTTTTGTAGGCAATATCAAGGGAAGCAAAACATTTTAACCTTGGAGAAGGTAGATATTACATAGTTGTAATATGGAGTGCCATAATTTGGCAATGTTTCTCTGTTGGTGCTGTTGGAGTTATTTACCTCTCTTCTTCTTTAATGTCTGGAGTTATGATTGCAGTTTTACTGCCAATTACTGAAGTATTAGGAGTAATTTTCTTTGATGAAAAATTCTCAGCTGAAAAGGGACTTTCACTTTTTCTTTCTCTTTGGGGTTTTGTTTCTTATTTTTATGGAGAATTTAAACAAGCAAAGAAACTTGAGAAGAAGAAAATTCAAGAAAATGAGATGACAACAACACAAATAGAACATGTTTGACTTACTATTTATGGTTGTTACCTATCCTATTGTATCGTATAGTTAAATTCGTCGTTATATAATGATGAAAAGTGTATTTTATGTAATGACTAGCTTAATGTTGTCGTGATGTTACCTTGTTTTCTGATTACTTGGTAGTATTTAATTATAAGTTATATTTGGCATATATAATACATAAGTGTGTTTTTTATTTGATTTCATCTAACATGTATTTCTTTCAATTTTAAGTGCATAAGTAGACATTTAAACTAGAATAGAGTTGAACTAATAGACATGTGTGTCTTATTTGATATCCTACGTGGAAATATGCATCCTAATCAACATTCTATGTGGCGCTTTACATTATTATTAGGACGATCATGTTTACTTGTTCAACTTCATACAAGTTTAAATGTCTATTTATGCACACCCAAACTTGGAGAGCATAGATGTCAAATGAACCAAGTTAAAGAATATATTTATTTAATATTATAAGTTTATTTTTCGGATTGCTGATTTATAGCATTATAAAATAACGAAAGACCATATAATCTATTCAAACATTGCATTCATAAAAACAAATAAAAAAAATAGTATAGTACTATCAATATGAAAGGATATGTAACATCGAATATTCAAACGAAAATCATGTACGTACATCGACCGGAGGGTGTTACAAGTAAAGACTATGTTATTGGTTTTATTATGACACTTTTGGCTGCAGCTTTGTATGGACTTATTTTGCCTTGTATTGAGTTGATGTATTTGAAGGCAAAACAAGCTATTACTGCAACATTGCTGTTGGAGATTCAAATGGTCATGTGTTTTGCCTCTACTGCTTTTTGCACAATTGGAATGATTGCTAACAAAGATTTTCAGGTATATTTTTTAACGAGATCGATTCAGAATTTAAAATGTATATGGTCTAAACTCTAGAGTTCATATTTGTATAGTTGAAGGAAGTTGTGTTTTTATATGTACATATTCAGTCAATTTCTTATAAACAAATGTGTAGGGTTTGGACTAGGGTAGATATGTGGAGATCGCAAATTAGGGTAAAAGATAAATAGGTAGTAGAGTGTTTTCTTGCTTCTCAAAGGGTTTAATGGTGTTTGTAGGGTCTTGGTTTGACTTCCTACCACCATCAATTTTATGATATTTCGATTATTGCAATATTTTGTTATTGTTAATGTTTATGTAGTAGGTGCTATATTTTCTACTTCGTCATTTTTCCTTTTCATACTTACTCTGATTGCTCTACTCGAATCGAGGGCTTTTTGAAATTAGTCTATTTCTTTACCTTCACAAGATAGTGATAAGGTCTGTGTGCGTTGTCTCGCTATAGCATTTAATTTCCTCTATTTTCAACTCACATGGATATATCTGCCACACCTTAATTGCAATCTCTATACTCTCTTCATTTAATTCATATAACATATCACTTACATTATTTTTGTAGGCAATATCAAGGGAAGCAAAACATTTTAACCTTGGAGAAGGTAGATATTACATAGTTGTAATATGGAGTGCCATAATTTGGCAATGTTTCTGTGTTGATGCTGTTGGAGTTATTTACCTCTCTTCTTCTTTAATGTCTGGAGTTATGATTGCAGTTTTACTGCCAATTACTGAAGTATTAGGAGTAATTTTCTTTGATGAAAAATTCTCAGCTGAAAAGGGACTTTCACTTTTTCTTTCTCTTTGGGGTTTTGTTTCTTATTTTTATGGAGAATTTAAACAAGCAAAGAAACTTGAGAAGAAGAAAATTCAAGAAAATGAGCTGACAACAACAACACAAATAGAACATGTTTGACTTACTATTTATGGTTGTTACCTATCCTATTGTATCGTATAGTTAAATTCGTCGTTATATAATGATGAAAAGTGTCATTTTATGTAATGACTAGCTTAATGTTGTCGTGATGTTACCTTGTTTTCTGATTACTTGGTAGTAAAATATTTAAAAAAGTATGAAAAATCTTATTTATTAATTTACTATATTTAAAAACACCAATGTAAGGAAATAATATTTTACTTTTTAGAAAATGGTGTATACATCCTTATTTAGGAAAAAAAATGCTTTCTACTGTAACATCTCGCACCTAGAAACTACTAGAAAGAGTTAAAATCTGAAAATATTGATTTTTGGAAAGATTAAGGAAATCTGGAAAATTATGTCTAAGTTAAGAAAGTGGGTTTTTGCCAATTTCAAACGGTCATAACTCCTATCTCAAGATGAGTTAGGAGCAGTTCTTGATATGGTTGGAAAGCCCTTGGAAATCTCTTTCCAACGCCGCCAAGTTTGTGAAATTCCGACATTGTATGAGTGAGATATACCTTTCGGAAGTTGGGCTGTTGGATTGAGGAAAGTCCCAATCCGGATTTAGGAAAGGGCAAAGTAATCTTTCCTCTAAGTTATTTCCTAATTTGATTTTAGGGGTTTATTGGGTAAAAACAGAACCTAAATCAGTTTTGGAAAATTAAAGAACGCTTAGGGCTTGGAGAAGAGAGAAAGGAAGAAAGAACGGGAGAAAAAAGCAAGAATTTGTCAAGATCATCCAAGCTTGTGAGTGGAATTCGTAGGGCGTGATTCCTATTAAGGTATGTGAGATCTTTTAGTGATGGGTTAGTTCACCCACACACCAATTTGTTTCAATTCAGCGATTTGGAGTTGTTTACATGTTAAGAAGTGAAGTTCTTGAAGAACATTATTGAATTATTGTTGGTTGATTGTTGAATGCCCAGTGTTGAGTTGATTCATGTTTCCGGGCTGTTTTTCGAGTTATATTGGTTGTGTATTGAGGGTACAATTGATCCTAAGTGTTTGGGGAAAGAACTAGGGAAGATTGGAGGGTTTAGAGATGAAAAACAGAGAAGAAAAATCGAGAACACCTGGGTAACGGGGCTGGGGTGCCACGCCAGCCAGCGCGCCCCACAGACTTCTCTGAAGTTTGGGGCCTGGCGCCCCACGCCTCTCAGAGCGCCAAGGACGCCAGTTCACCCCATTCTTCTCCCATCTTTTCGTACTAGTTCTAAGCGATGTACCTATGTTTTCTAGTTGATTCCAACACTCTAAGGTACATCTAAACATTATGAAATCATCCATAAACATGCGATCGTGAACCTTGAATCCATAATTCAATTCAAGGAAAGTTAAGATCAAAGTCAAAGAAGTTAAGAGTCAAGTCTAGAAGTTAAGAAGTAAGTCAAAGCAAAGTTTCTTAAAGTTTTCAAGAGTCTTTATTAAACGTTTAAACTTCGTTTTAAGGCACAAGTTTCCAGTAAAGTAAAGAGTAAAGAGTTGAGTTCATTTCTCAAAAGTTATTAGGGAACTAAGTATTCCCAAAGAAGTTTATAAATGTTTTCACATTTGAGAAAGAAAGGAACTATGTTTTCCAAAAGAGCCTTTGGGCTAGTTTTCAGTAAAGGGAACATTGATTCCAAGAGAGCCTTTGGACTAAACTTTGAGCAATTATCTCAAACTAAAGAAAGAGGTGTTGAAAACACATATGAGATAAAGTATATTTTGGGAGTAGTATTGAGCACCGAATTGGGGACGCGAGTTCATATTAACTCAACTCTCCATAAGAACTATGTAGCAAACATGGGATTTAACGGGTCATACTTTTTAGATGATCACGTAAGTTAAGCTAGTGGATACACTAAGTTAAGTAAGGTCCTATGTCACAGCGAGGTATAGGATGGTCCTTGTGCAACGTGAGGTAAAACGTTGTACCATCACTAGGGCTCATAGTGGTGGTTGTCGGTTAAAGAATCTCCAACAAAAGTTATATTACTTTTATATATAAGTAAAGTTGAGTTTGTTATTGCTTTATCTTTAACGAACTAAGTTGTTTACTCTGTTTTACAAGCTTTATATATATATATATATATATATATATATATATATATATATATATTGCATGTGTCTTATTGTTTTATATTGAGTTCAGTTATTCATGAGTTGTACAGAGTCAAGGTAAGTGTTCCTTCTTACTCCTTTCAAGCTTAAGTTGTTGTTTAGCATTCCAACTCGCATACTCGTACATTCAATGTACTGATGCTAGTTGGCCTGCATCTTATTATAATGCAGATGTAGGTAACCAGGATCAGCATCCTGCGCGCCGTTGATCTAGTCGAGCACTCCAGAGTCAATGGTGAGCCTCCATGCATTCCGGAGGACTCTTTTATTCGCTTTCCTAGTTTTCTTTATTAGGATGTTATAGGGTCTGTCCCAACATCCATCTCAGTATTATAGAGGCTTCATAGACAGTTAGACAGTAGTTGAGTCTCTCGTTTATGTATTTGCAGATACTTTGTTTCAAGACAGAAGTTGCCAATTTGGCTAAGAGGTTATCATTTAAACTATTACGTGAGTTTATTTTGTTGAGTTAAGTCTTCTGCTGAGTTAAGTAAGCCAGGCCAAGGGTTCGCTTGGTGCCAGCAATGGTCTTCGAGTGTCAGTCTTTCCCAGGGTGTAGGCTCGGGGCGTGACATCTACATTCTGGATCTTGGCATGCGGAGGTAAAAGCTTATGCATACCAAATATTTATATCAAAATAATATAACTTACTTATTTATTATAAATTTAAGGGCGTGCTTGGATGGGCATATAAAAAGTACTATTTTCATCCATATTTACTTGTTAAATATTTTTTTAATTTGATGTCCCTTCTTACTTGTCATTTTTGAAAAATCAAGAAAGGAAAAATTATTTTTTGTTATTATACCTTCAATTTATTAACATTGAGTTAATATTTTTGAAAAATGAACTGAGTAAATATATTTGGGATCCTATTAATTAATAAAAATAAAATAGTAAACTCACTATATCAATCAATATTTTCTTAATAAGTGTGCAAAGTAGAAATTTGACAAGTAAAACACTACTAAAAAAACAGTGAATGCCGACCTAAAAATTTCCGACCTCAAATGGAGGTCAGTAATTTCCGACCTCCGGAGGTCGGTATTTACAAGTAGTCGGTTTTTATGCAAAATAAAGCGGGAAAACCAAATTCCGACCTTTGGAGGTCGGAATTTTTCCCGGAAAAAATGAATTACAATAAAAATACCGACCTCATGAGGTCGGTATTTTTTATATTTAATTGAGAAAATAATACCGACATCAAGAGGTCGGTTTTTATTGTAATTCATTAAAAATTCCGACCTCCTGAGGTCAGAATTTTTTCTCAATTAAGTTTTTTTATAATACCGACTTCCGAATGTCAGTAAAATTAAATAGTATGTAATTAAAATACCGACCTCATGAGGTCGGTATTTTTATTTTATCTAATTACTATTAATTAAAGCGACATCCGGAGGTCGATATTTTTATTCCATCTAATTACTTTTAAAAGCGACATCCGGAGGTCGGTTTGCGGGTAAACCAAATTCCAACCTCAAGAGGTCGGAATTTTTCCCAGAAAATGAATTACAATAAAAACCGACCTCTTGATGTCGGTATTATTTTTCTATTTTGATTTAATTTTATTTAAATCGTCTTCCGGAGGACGATTTTGTGTTATGTAATAAATTAATATTTTCAATTAACTTTAAATAAATTGTCCTCCGAATGACGGTTTTATGCAAGTTAAAATATAATTTAATATAAAATACCAACCTCCCGATGTCAATATTATTTAATTAACATAATTACTTTTATTTATCTTAAAATTTAATGTGATACCGACCTCATGACGTCGGTATTTTTTATTAAATCTAATTACTTTCAATAAAAGCGACATCCGGAGGTCGGTTTGTTTAAAATATTCCTATTAATACTCATAATTTTGCTATCGTGCATAATACTAAAATTTCATTTTACACCTACAATTAATTGTTCAAAAAGTGTAACAATTTTGTATACTTTTATAAATAAAAGGTTAGAATTCGTGGAATAAATAAAAAAATATCTATAATCCATATTTAGAGTATGAAACTACGTTGATATGAATTAGGAGATAATTATACTTATATTTCTAGAGTAATGTACAAATTCTATCAGTTCGTCGTCTAATCATGAACTTAATAACTCATGTCATGATGTAGAGGTGAAGAGCTAACATATAATCCATTTGAGTATGAAATGCGAGATAGTATTATTATATACATTCGATCTAATTGAATGGATGTTAAGTGTAGTGATCACCTCCTAATTATGATGGCATGTAAACGATACCTTATCGGAGTATGAAAAACGTTGATTAATTATATACTCCTCGAGTAGTTTAACAAATCAAATCTTATATACTAGTGGTTTAGATATGAAATACATTATCAATTAAAGAAATACCGAGGATCAATTCAAGGAGATTTATATATTAAATTTGATATTGATAAACTTTTGTTGATCAATAAAATTAAATTTATATAATTAGGAGTTATATAATTTAAATTTATAAAATTAACTTGATCGATAAATTAAATTTATTAAATTAAACTTCTGTTGATGTGTAGTTAAATTTTATATATATATATATATATATATATATATATATATTTATATTGATAAACTTTTGTTGATCAATAAAATTAAATTTATATAATTAGGAGTTATATAATTAAATTTATAAAATTAACTTGATCGATAAATTATATTTATTAAATTAAACTTCTGTTGATGTGTAGTTAAATTATATATATATATGTTGACACCCAATTTTGGACCTCCACAATATATATTAATTATCGAGCTTCTTCAATTTCAAACGATTTTAAAATAATTAGTTTTATAAAAGTAATAATAATAATATAGTTTGCAAGTTCTGTCTTATTTTATAATTTTTAGATAATATATATGTTTTACATAATTATGTATATAATTATTTATATTTTATGAATATTCAAAAATCGTCTCAAAAAGAGTTTGTTTTATATTCTATTAAATTAATTGGGTTTAAAGTATAAGTTATCTATTTTATTAGTTTAATTATTCTTATTTTATATTATTTTGTC